CACTCATAATGGCATCCTGTATCCTCGCGATCTTCAGTGAATCTTGTGACAGTGTGGTGCTATCGACTGTACTAAACCCTTACCGGAACGTGCGGAAGGCTGTGTCCTTTCTCTAATTGAGATTGACGTATTGGGTTGAGATGACGCATGTGTAAAGTTCATAGGATACAGATAGCAGACAGGTTGGGCGATAGCGGAAAATAGTCGGGACCTCCCTTCTTATACAGCAACACGGTCTTGCTAGTTTTCCACGACGTGGACACTTTGCATTTCGATAGGTGTCGCGTGAAGAGCCCAACCAGAAATCTGACGACATCTTGTGTAAGACACTTTAGATGTTCTGGTCTGATCCTATCGGGAAGTCGTACAATTCCTCGACGTGATGGCATCTCGAAATTTGGAAGAGAGAAATGAAGGGGATCGAACTTCAGCTGGTTACTGCCTGCAGCTCTCGCGATTCCACGCTGGCGTATCTGCTCGGGAGTCTTTGGAGATAGACGCTTCTTGGCATCTTTGAGACCCTCTTTCCTGGCACTATCGTAAAGATGTTCGACGAGCCAGACGTACTGATCATCGATGTTGTCGTTACCGGACAAACCAAAACTAGCAAATAAAGCGAAGTGATCTCAGTTAACAACAGTCTCGAGGCTTCCTTTCCTGAGTTTCGACCCTCTCTTCACCCTCTGGAAAATAGAATCCAGCGCGGAGGAGGCAGTAGTCTGATTCCATGTAGAACTTCGAATAACAGCGACATCAGTGAGACCAAATATTTGTTTTTAGGTGATGTAACCTATTTCATTGTAAAGTATCCAGTGAAATGACTCCCATGCCCATCGCAAGGGAAAGGGCTTCTAAAATAGCGAGTTGCCATAGATAGTGTGAATCGCCGTGACTCGAACACTCTTTCACCCTGCTGATTCCATTTCGTTCCGTGAGCCAGGATATGTTGCTTTCAGTCGCTCTTCTGAAGCCAATTTGGGAGTTGAAATCATTACCGTGACATTGAAGAATGTGTGGTCCTTTTGTAGAGCTTTTCTATACCACATAAATCTTTTACAGCTCCGTTCTTCGTAGCTTGATATTGGTGCATAGGCAACGAAGGTGGTTAGAGGTGGGGTTGAGCCGAATATCCTCAACCGCAAACGTAAGATTAGGGTTGTTAGCCTTTCGTACGAATCGCTGTTCATGTCTAAGTGCGTGTTGTACACCTAAACCAATGTCGTCTTGAGTCTCGAACACCGCAGGTAAAGGGCGACGCATTCTCTTCTCGTACAGTCTGTTGACCTTGTGCTCGATCTTCCTGGCTTGCATCACCAGACCTTCGATATACACTTCTGAAACAGGCGTTTGTGCGTCGAAAGTACAACTTGTCGGTGTCATTCCAAGACTAATATATTGAGCAATCGATCAGGAAAAAACGTCCTGGTCATCCCTAGTTAAAACTACTCCCTCTAGAATCAACTCTGATCTCTAGAATAGAACCTGTACTAGCTTTCACAGCTTTTTAAGAGTGTGGTACTATTATAGAAATCGTTCTGACGCTCACATATACAGTGCGTCATCCTGGAAGTAAAGGAATCTCAAGTTCTTCAATGGATTGCTCTACTAACCAGGGAAGTATCCCAAGTCGAGCTATATGAAATAAGACCTGCACTGCTAGACGTGTTTTTGGATGCTGATTACAAACCTGCCTTCTATATTTGCCAGGCGACTCTCTGAACAGAGTCATGAGGGTGGTTTCAAATGGGACTCACTACAAGAGAACTTGAATTTCATGGTTGTACCTTGCTCTTCAAAGGAAACTTGGAGCAGTCGTAGGAGTGACGATTCATATGCGAAAGACTAGGAATCGGATTTTGTGGGAGGACGAATTTTCGCATTACATAGAATTTTTTCTTAAGGACTAGAAAATACTCTTGTGATGATTTTACCACGTAACATAAACTTTTGGTGCTTCTGCTGATATTTGTCCACTCAAAGCAATACCGCTTCGATTTTAATCGCATGTCCATGCGCTTTATATTCACAGTAGGATAACTTCTACCACTTCATGAACAAATGTGATACTCTAGCATGGAGTGCTTAACAAGATGCTTCGCACAATGGGAGCGATGGATAAAGAAAAAATTCATCACAGTCCATTTCTTCACAGACACTCACCAAATCAGAAGAAAAACATAATAGTGTGGGCTGCTCAAAACCACCCGAGCTAATGTAGCCGGCGGCATGCTGTGAATAAGAGAATTTTCCTAAATTCAACAGCGCGGAGCTGAAAATAGACAAGTGATAGCGAGCAAAGAGTGGAGCCTCGATTGTACACGCAAAAGGTGAAGTCATGAGCAATTACACAT